AGTTGGTCAGCTTTATGACTTTTTTCTTTTCCTCTTTTATTAATATGGCACATTCACAGTTTATTGCTTTTACTATCCCATAGAATTAGTTTATAGTTAATTAAGCTTATTATACTGTATAAAACAAAAATACATAAACCAAGTAAGAAATTAATAAAAGCAAATATATATTGTATCTTATAGTTTGGGTATTAGGATAATATAGTCCTGGTTATAGGAAAGGTGAAGTTAGTGTTTAAGTGACCAGTAGAAAAGTTAACTATCACGTTTTGGGAAGCGGGGAAGAGGGGCAGGAGCATGGCAGAGGGAATAGATGGATTGGAATATGTTGTAAATATGTGTGGAAAGGTAACAGTGAAATTCCCCCTGTAGAGTATAACTAATGTAAGTGAAATTTCTTAAAAAGCTATGACTACTTAAATATAAAAACAATAAAACAGGGCTGGGAAGGTGGCTGAGTGGTAGAGCGCTTGCCTTGCATGCATGAGGCCCTGAGTTCAATTCCTCAGCACCACATAAGCAGAAAAAGCTGGAAGTGGCACTGTGGCACTAGCCTTGACCTGAAGAGCAGTTCAGGCCCCACGACCAGCAAAAACAAAAAACAAAAACAAAAAAACACAAATACACTTGTAATAAATCAATTCAATGAACAGTAATAAATTGTTTAGAATTTCAAAGAAGCCTTCCAAATAATCCAGAATCTTATTATATTACCACATAACAAATCATATTAAGTGAAGTAAGCTAAGCTCAAAGGATGATAGTCTTAGAAGAGGAACAAAGGGTGCAATGCCTATGTGTACTTGATCATAAAAATAATATTTATCCAAACGAACTCCAGGAAATGGAAACAAGGTTTTTCTTTGTTTAAAAGAAAAAAAGGAAGAAGAAGAAATCCCAGATGTAACATTCCTATGTTCTAACTCTGCTCAAGCTACCCTAATGACCCAGAATTTACTATTAGCACAACCTGTTCCACTGCTGACTAGTTCTATACCTTCTTCAATTCAGAATCAAATAACAGAGGAACTGGAGGTATGGCTCAAGTTGTAGAGCTCCAGCTGTTAGGAAACAACAACAACAACAAGCAAGAGCTTGAGGCCCTAAGTTTAAGCCTGCCCCATAAACCCCCTGCCAAGAAAGTCAAGAACAAAATTCCTCATTATGAAGTTTTCCCAACCTCTCTCTCAAAGTCTATTTTCTGAAGGGAAAAATACAACGAATAGTCCAAGTCCTCCTAATCTGGATCATCACAATTATCCCCCCCCTTTTTTTTTTTTTGTCGGTCGTGGGGCTTGAATTCTGGGCCTGGGCGCTGTCCCTCAGCTCTTCAGCTCAAGGCAAGCGCTCTACCACTTGAGCTACAGCGCCACTTCCGGTTTTCTGGTGGTTTATTGGAGATAGGAGTCTCACGGTCTCTCCTGCCCGGGCTGGCTTTGAACCTCGATCCTCAGATCTCAGCCTCCTGAGTAGCTAGGATTACAGGCGTGAGCCACCAGCGCCCGGCTACAATTATCCTTTTTAACAAATCACAACAATAACAACATTCTTTTATCTCTAAATGTACACAGAGTAATGAAATTGGGATTTTTGTGTGTATTAATTTTTATATATTAATGGAGGTCTCTTTAATCTTGATCATGTGCAAATGCAACGACACTGTCCATCAGCTTTTTCCGTTCAAGGCAGGGCTCTACCACTTGAGCCATAGCTTCACTTCCAGCTTTTTCATGGTTAACTGGAGACAAGAGTCTCACAGTCATTCCTATCTAGGTTGTCTTCAAACCACAATTCTCAGATCTTATACTCCTGAGTAGCAAGGATTGCAAGTGTGAGCCATGAGCACCTGGCACAAAACAGAATCTTAAAGATATCTCAATCATAACTGTTTCTGTTGACAGGTTTTTCATTTTCTCATTCTCAAGATATGTCTTGACTCTTAAAACTTATAGATGACTAAACTTCCCTAATTCTTTATCATATCAAATGACTTTTCTCATTTCTCTGTTCCATACACGTAACTTTTACATTATGTTCATATTGTCTATGTGTCACCTTTACCATATTTTAGCATCTTGATCCAGGGAAATAACTTAACCCTTGAATTAAACTCACTGGTAATCCATTTTCCTTAGTTTTTTTTTTTTTTTTCCCTTGAGTCTGGTCGTGGGGCCTGAACTCTGGGCCTGGGGGGCGCTGTCCCTCAGCTCTTCAGCTCAAGGCTAGCACTCTACCACTTGAGCCGCAGCACCACTTCCAGCTTTTTTCTTTTTGCTTATGGGGTACTGAGGAATCGAACCCAGGGCCTCAGGCATGCAAGGCAAGCGCTCTACCACTGAGCCACCTTCCCAGCCCCTCCATTTTCCTTAGTAAAGAACAGAGTCCTACTTCCAAATATCCTGGCCAGTGAATTCTCCTTTGTGAACACAGTGATGAATTCCAAGGACATTAAGAAGCAAACCATCATTTAACAGAGATGATAATATGCAAAACAGTCTAAACTATGGTATTGTAGTTCACTACTCAGGAGCTGAGGCAAGAGGCTGAGGCTGGAGGACAGCTTGAGCCCACAAGTTGGGTTGGGTTATGTTACCTGGGCAACACAGCTAGACACCATTTAACAAAAAATAAACAAAAATATCAACCAGTACTGAGGTGCAACTCAATGCTATAGCACTTGTACAGCATGCACAAGACCTTGGGTCTGATCATTAGCACCACAAAAAAATAAAATGAAAAATAAATAAATACTTGACAGATATTTAACAATGTACACAACTGATTAAACAATTTAAGGATGTATCTTAAGTAGCTGATTCTTAAGCAAGGTTCATATAAAACCCCTCTATTAATGAAATGATTGTTATTTTTATATTTCTTATCTAATCTTACTTGCCTATTACTATTATGCCAAATGACCCATAATTAAAGTGTGGGAAATAAAAAGACAAGAGAAGTAATGTGCCAGACATTTTTGCTGAGTCCAATGTAGATAATCAGTAAACTTAAAATAGGCAACGAAGGTTTGCTGATTTTAATAGAAGAAAAAAATTCACTCTCTTGAAAGGCCCTAAGCCAAACAACAAGGGCAAATAGAAATAATTTTAAGATTTGCTTAAAGCATACAGACTCCCAAGTCTGGGCGTTGCAGCTCAAAAATACAATGTTCGTGTGATGCCCTGAGTTGGTTTCCGGCATCACAAAAGAGCAAATGAAAAAAGCCATGCCACTCAGAAAAAGTGGGAAGCTAAGAATAATCATGCCAGAGCAATACAAATCTAGCTTGCAAACAAACCATATTAAGCTAGTAGCATACTACATATTGTTCGTGAGTACTGAATTAGACAGCACTAAGCATTCAACACTAATAAGTTCTTATTAATAGTAACAACTTAGTGTGAAGGTTGAAAACCTTTTATAGTTCCACCAAACCTTCCTTGCAGCACTGAAAAAAAAAACAACCACACACAATTGGGTTACTGTATAACCCAATACTTCTAAACAAAATTGTAAGGAAAGAAAGTCATAGGAATAGTAGTAAGTCTCCAGATTTGTTAAATTATCTTAAAGTCTTGCTGTTTGTTTGTATCATGAAATAAAAATATGCCTAGAGTGACACATTCAATCCACATACTTATGTATGTATATAAACACACATATAATGTGAGTTTTAAATTTTAATAAAATTGATTCTTGCTCTTATTCTAGACCATTAGTTTCATTCCTCATGGAATTCTGTCCATAGCTCTTTAAGTTTGAATAAAATTTGTATGTATATAAATACATGCTTCTTAAAATAAAAAATGAAAATATACTACGTATTTGTACATTGTATTTCTCAGTTAATTATGTATCTTAGAAGATTCTTCCATATCTGCATCTCTAGGCCCACTTCCTTTTTTTTTTTTTTTTTTTTGGTGGTTGTGGGGCTTGAACTCTTGGCCTGGGCGCTATCCCTCAGCTCTTCAGCTCAAGGCTAACGCTATACCACTTGAGCCACAGCGCCACTTCTGGTTTTCTAGTGGTTTATTGGAGATAAGAGTCTCATGGACTTTCCTGCCCGGGCTGGCTTTGAACCATGATCCTCAGATCTCAGCCTCCTGAGTAGCTAGGATTACAGACGTAAACCACCGGAGCCCGAATAGTAGTAAGCATTTATTTAACCAGACATCTGCTGATGTATATTTAGGTTATTTCTAGATGTTATTTCTATGGTGTCTTCTCATTCCAAGTGATATGGTGATAAGTATCGCTGTATGCAAATTTTTGTGTGCAAAGGAAGTATAAGTAAATGATAGATTTCTAGAAGCACTGCCTATTATAATTTAAACAAATTCTAAACAAGAAGTTTACACACTTACAAGAGGCCAGAAAAGTGCTTAGTGATGAAAAGATTCCAAACATCACCAAATAGCTAAAGTTAAGGTTTTGAAAATTAGGAAACTGATGGATTAGGAAAAGTGAAATAGAAAACAAAAAGAAACTTTACCCTGGGACAGAAAGATAAAAGGATGAGAGAACAGGCCACTTAAAAGGAATAATGGGGAGGGACTTGGGAAGAGAGAGAAATGCATAACGGGAAGGAAGAAAGTGAGAGAGAGTAGAAAGAGGGAGAGAAGGGGACAAAAGGAGGGAAAAAAGGGAAATAACATAAATGTAAAGAAACATAAAGGACATTTTGGGGGGTTCTTGCTTAAACTTAAGCCCCAAAATAGAACTACCAACAGATTTAGACATAATTATACAGCCAAACTTAGATGCCAAATGATTTAAATGGCTATTTGAGGTCTAATTTTTATGGGGTGCCCACAGATAGATTTATTTCTCCTATGCTCAAAGTGTTGGAAAGGAGACTCCCAGAAAAGGAAAGAAAGTAAAGCAACAATCTTCCAGGAACAATATAATTTATCAATCTCTTTAATTACACTATTGAAATTTCTTTGGCCCATTCAGAGCTATTCTAATATCTCACCTAATGTAAAACATAGTCAACAACTTACCTCTTCCAAAGTGCTAGGAATTGAATGCCACAATACAAATTGATTCATGTTTTTGTCCATTAATATTCCGTGCTTTTCTTTACATGAAGTCCATAGGTATCAGTGCTCTGCAAAACTGAAAACCTCAAGAATGTCAATGTACATACCTAAGTTACCACTTGGATACCAACTCATTAAGGAAAACAGTTACACTATTGAGATTTAGATGAGCAAAGCTTAGAGGACATGACAATCAACACCACACAGGCAAAAAAAAAAAAAATTAGACTAAGGCAATAATATTTTGGGGGGGTTCTTGCTTAAACTTAAGGCCCAAAATAGAACTCAAAAAATTACAAAATTACCTTTAATCATATTTACATTATTCTAAACACAACATCACAGTAACAACATATAAAAATAGAGATGATTCAGAAATTGAAAAACGAAGAATTAAAGATGGGCAAATTTGTAAATTTTAAGGACTTCAATAAAGCATTTACATGGGACTTTTAGTGCCTTCAACCTATTTGAAGATCTTTAACTGCTTAGTAGCTTCTTGTTTAAAAAAAAAACACATACACACATAACACATACCAAAAAAATGTAGAGAACAATTCAGTGCTCTCCGCCTGCTCTATCCAACCTTACCTAAGATAATGCAACTTCTCAAGGGCTTCATCAGAGAGCCCATAGACACAAGCGTCTCACTGGGACTGCATGTAGGGTGGTGATTCATGTCCAGATCTTATTACACAGCAGAATGTGTCATCTGCACCGTATTCATTTGATAACCACAAGCAATCTGGTTGCACTACTTGTGTTTCTGGGTGTATACTCACTCTTGGTTACATTAAAGGCATTTTTACTTTGTTGTTTTTATTGATCTTCTTGGGGGAAAGACTTCTACAACTGCTTCTTCATGTATACACAACAGGAAACTTCGACCTAGATTTTTTATACATTTATATTTACGTTTTCGTTGTCATTTTCATTTACCTTTCAAGTAAGAAAAAGCGAGGGGGGCGGGGGAGGCAAGCGAGTTTATGCACTGAGGGGAAACTAAGGAGCATCACAGTGAGACAGCTACACCTTCATCGTTTGAGGACACACACCACCACCCCGTGTCAAGCCCCTGCAAGTTTTTTTTTTCCCAGAAAACCAAAGGAACCTGCAAAATAGTCAGATAATCGCCTTATTGTGTCCCCCCACAGGGAAAGACACTCATACATACCCATTTCACTAACTTTAAAACAAAACGAAAACCTCTGCGTCTCTCCCGCGCAGCACTCTGCTAAGACACTGGCTAAGAAACGAGATCACTGACAGTGATCGCTACCACTCGTAAGAGGGCTGCTACTGGCATTGACAAGCTGCCCTGCCGAGCCGCAATCCGGTTCTTCCACTCGGGATCGCGCTCACCCGGGCACCTTCTCGAGGCGCCAGGCGGTGCGCGGCACCGGGCTAGCCCTCCAGGGAAGGGGAGACGGGATCCTTGCCCCTTCCTCCGGGCCGGCCGGGGGGGTGCTGGGGGGCCCTAGCTTGGCCCACTGCAGTGCCCCAGACCCCATCTCTGCACCCCACAGAGGCTCAGAAGACTTCGACCCGGCTCCCCGGAGTTCCCCAAGTCCTCAACCCTCCGGGGAGCCCTCTTCCCGCCCCCACCCCCAGTGAAGACCGTCCCTCCCGCTCCCCGAGCGGCCAGCCCCGGACTCCACCTCCGCCCTCCCACTTGAAATCCCGCCCGCGGTTACCTGCCGGCGTCCGACGCTCCTAGAGGACCGGACTCCCGTCCCGCCCCCGGCGACGCCCTCCGCAGCCCAGCACCGCCTCCCTGCGCAACTTCCGGCTCGTCGCATCCGGTGGGGGGGGAATCTTGTGCTTCTCCGCCGTGTGACGTCACTTCCGCGCGTCACTTGTTTTGTCTCCCCCACGTCGGGTGTCTTTGCTTTCTCCCCCCCCCCCACGCCCGATCGCCCCATCTCCGGCCTCTTTGCCCGTTTCTGCAGTGGCCGCTGCCCGCGGTGCGAGTTTGTCGCTCCGCTCTGTTCGCCTGGACTCTGGCTCTTCTGAGTTGTCTGCCCGGGGCCGGGTTTGGCAGTGCGAGCTCTGGGGTGGGGCCTGTGCTTCTCGGCGTCTCTCGCTGCTTGTGTGGTGGTGGTTTTTCTTGGGGAGGGGTGCTGGAAGTCAGGGCCTGGGCGCTGTCCCGGAGCTCTGTTCACTCAAGGTTGGCACTCTACCACTTCAGCCAGAGCTCTGCTTCCGGCTTGTTATTATTATTGTTAATTCGAGCCGAGCTTCACGGTGTTCCCTGGCCCGGCTGGCTTCGAACTGCGATCCTCAGTTTCCTGAGTTAGGATTACAGGCATGAGCCACCAGCGCCTGGCTCTCTGCCTCTTTGTAAGTGTGAAAAATATTAGTGCCTAGACCTTAGGCTTGGTGTATTCCTTAGAAGTCACTGGCATTCTGAACCGCCTCAGTGAGCGCTAATTGCTGTTTTATTTGTTATGAACTCTTGTTCCTCGTTAGAACATATGAATGGGTGGAAGGCTGGAGTCCGTTTTTAATTTAAAGGCTAGTCGATGGTTCTTGGTACCTTTTTCCTTAGGAACTATGCACTCCTTCAGGCAAAGATAGAATCACATATGAGAACCAGTCCTACCTGAAACCATACTTAGAAACACCTGCTTAGTTATTATGCTAAGTACTGGGAAAAGATGCATAAAGCTCAGGCTTTGCCCTGAAGGGACAGCAAGCAAGCAAGGAGAGTCTCTACAGCTAAAGAAGATGAAATCTGGGAGCTGTTCATAGTTTGGTAGCGAACTTTTATTTTGCAAAAAAAAAAAAGTAATATAAATTGGCCTTAAATAAAGGGATATATTGAGTTCTATATCTAGAATACACTTGAGAGACATAAGGTTAGCTAATCTGACAATTTAAGATAATCATTCAGGACCTATATATTTTTTCATCCCTTAGCTTTGCCATCACTAACATGTATCCAATTACTATATCTAGCTTTCCTTAAAGTGGCAAATGGTTATGGCATTGTGTACATCAAAAGGGATGGGCTTAAGGCCTGGCACTGGTGGTTCACACTGGTAATCCTAGCTATTCAGAACCTGAGATCTAAGGATCGTGGTTCAAAGCCAGCCTGGGCAGAGAAGTCTGTGAGACTCTTATCTCCAATAAACTACTCAGACAAAGCCAGAAGTGGATCTGTGACTTAAGTGGTAGAGTGCTAGCCTTGCGTAAAAGAAGCTCAGGAACAGAACCCAGACCCTGAGTTCAAGCCCCAGGACTGGCAAAAAAAAAAAAAAAAAAAAAGGATGGGCACACAGCACACATCCAGCAATCCATTTTGAATCCAAGGGTAAAAAAACAAATGTATGCATCAGTGTCTGGACCAGACCCTGTACTCTGTCCAGTTTTTATCTCTACAACAGTAAAGGGCTTGTATTAGTCACCATTAAATTCCATGTTGTCATAAACTCACTCTAGAATCCCATGGCAGTTGACATAGATTATACTGCAGTAACTACCTATTACCTTAAAACAACTCAGGTTAGGTTCTCTGCCTCCCTCCTTTCTCTCTCTCTTAACTATGTGCTATCCCTAAGCTTTTTCACTCAAAGCTAATTACCTACCCCTTGAGCCTTACAGCTTTTTGCTTGTTAATTTGAAGTAAGTCACAGACTTTCCTACCAGGGCTAGCTTCCATCCTCAGATCTCAGACTTTTGAGTAGCTAGGGTTACAGGTATGAGTTACTACACTGGCTCTCAAGTGTTCTTCTTCATGCTACAAGAGCATTTGGATCTGCATGGCAGCTTGGCTCCATTGTAGCCATTTAAGAACTCAAGCTGACCATGCCACTACCACCTCAAAACTTTGTTAGTGATAGGCCAAATTAACAATAACAACAACAATCTAGTATCCCAGTGTTGGTGGCTTGTGCCTATAATCCTAGCTATTCAAATAGCTGAGATCTGAGGAAAACGGTTTGAAGCTAGCCCAAGCAAGAACGTCTTTGAGATTCTTATCTCCAACAACCACCGTAAAAGCCAGAAGTGGAGCTGTGGCTTAAATGGTAAATCACTAACCACAAAAGCTCAGGACAGTGCCCAGGCTCTGAATTCAAGCCCCAGGACTGGCACAAAAAAATGAACAACAAAATTAAAACCCCAATTTAGTGAAATGTGTGCTTCCTATTAATGCTCTTCATTCTTTTATACTTTATTAGCCTTAGCAATAAGTTCTATTTCAGGTAGGTAGGCAGGCAAGTGTAATCCTACCATAAGAAAACTACAATATTTGTAAGCACACATATCTATTACAAATCCAGCTCGTGAGGCTGGGAAGATGGCTCAGTGGTAGAGCACTTGCCTTGCACGCCTGAAGCCCTGGGTTCAATTCCTCAGCACCACATAAGCAAAAAGAAAAAAGCCAGAGTGGCTCTGTGGCTCAAGTGGTAGAGCACTAGCCTTGAGCTGAAGAGCTGAGGGACAGCGCCCAGGCCCAGAGTTCAGGCCCCACGACCGGACCAAAAACAAAAACAAAAACAAAAAAACAAATCCAGCTCGCTAGGTTTTGCTGAAAATCATGTAAAATCCAACTGCATTGAGCTGTGAATAAAATTTCCTTGACAGCTTTCCCCCACATTTAATTTATGAAAAGTGAAAATTATTTATGTTTCTTAAGTATTTTGACATTGGAATGTCATCAACAACAGCACAGTGATTGCTGAGAGTTTCTTTCCCAAGATTTTTAAATGATAATTGAGGAGCGGGCAGACCAGCATTAGGTAAGGCTCTTAAATGTGATCCCTTAGGCACCTTACTTTCCTAGCCATAGTCCCTGCCTTTAAACAAAGGCTGAGCATATTTACAGATTTATATAGAAACCTAAAGTGAAGGACAGGGTTGAAAGTTCTGTGTTCAACTGAAAATATGGGGATAGATTATGATAGACTGCTATAAAATATGAAGATATGCCTAAAGAGTCCAAACTATGCTTATTAGAGCCTCCCTCTCCAGGAAGACTTGGCCTTTGTGCAGGACTGTCTGTAGAACAGTATGGCAATCTTGCTTCCTCTAGGGAGCCTCTCTGCAGAGAGACAAAATTGAAGTCACTGCTTGTGTAAAGAAGAGAGAACTAGACTCACTATGCAGAACAGACTTGATTTTACAGTGTTGTGAGACAAGATCGGGTTCAAGGATTTCTAAATTTCAAAGGAACTAGATACAGATTCATAATCAACTGGTTTCTCCCATGAGGCTGCATTGATTGTTGGCACTCACAGGCAGTGCTTTGGGCTGTTGCTGATTGGCTGTCCTTTACCCTCAGACTTGGATCGTTGAGTCTGTTGTCCATGTTATGTTGAAGGGATTCTATCTGTATATTTCTAGGTAGGAAACTTTTTGGTAGGAACCTTTTTCTTTTCATTTCAAGAGCAAAACAAAATGTATGAAATTAATCCTTAGTCATCGTTAAAGTTTATGAACACCAGTAAAGATGTGCTTCATGTATTTTTTCCTCTCACACATTTCCATACTACCTTCTAATCATTTGATGGATCTTTGAGGACATAGGAAGTCAGGAGTTGGGACCTTGCATCAACTGAATTTTTAGGGGTAAGAGTTGGGCATGGTTTCTCTAGTCTCCAGTCAGGTCATGTACATAACTGGTGTTCAGCTGGTAGATGGTGTGTTAGCAATCCCACTCCTTAGGGAAAGCAAAAAAAAAAAAAAAAGGATTGGGCAGACAAGTTGCTCTGAAGTTGTGCCTTCCCTGCTGTGTAGCAGTGAGAAAATGACTGTTCTGTATATTGCTGGTTGTGGCAAGTACTACCCACCAGCAGTTAGGTGAAAATGATGCATGTGGTTCACTAGTTCCAGACAGGCTTCTTGGCACATAGTTGTCAGGGCCCCAGGGAACGATCCCTGTGCATGGGGATCATGGGGATCGCTTGTCTCCCAGTGAATCCAGAGCATGCCTCCCAGCCAGCGGGGGATCAGCTCTACTGGCTTTCTGGCTGTCCTCTGGGAAGCTGTGATGATAAGCATCTGTGTAGAGCTGCCAAGTCCTTCCCGGGAGGTGAAAGGTGGCTGCGGGACTGCCGAAGGGGCGACTGCAGGAATCAGAAGGCGGTGCCTGGCTCTCATTGAGCCAGCTCTTCGCCCCTCCTCCTGGGGACCGGTCCAGGGATCCCTGAAAAGTGGCCGGACTCTCAGAGGCAGAGGGAACTTGGGCCACAGAGGAGACTTCGGCGCCAGAGGAAAATGGCTGAGTACTTGAGGCTGCCCCACTCCCTGGCGCACATCCGCCTGCGAAACCCGCCTGTCAACGCAATCAGGTAACGGCCTCTGCGGCGGGGAACCGCGGGCCCTACCAGCCGGTGTCTGGCTCTGGCTGAATCGACACTGCCAGATAAAGCAACTGGTTTGTACTGGGTCCTTTCACTGGGCCATCGGTGCATCTGAGTCAC